GAGTATTGCCTAGGAAGGTTCTACTACTTGCAGCTATAAAGCTTAAAATTATGTTCCTGATAAGAAGCCAATGTGAAGAGATTCAACAGTCTACCATACAGAAGACATAGCACCTACTACTACTCAAGGAGTTTCAACCTGGACGGAACCATTCAGAACCCGACATAGGAAGCTGTCAAATCCAAACAAGAGGAGAAAACAAATTCTTTTTCAAATAATTGTTTTCCGTCTTAAGGGGGGAGGTGTTATGATCCCGTACTCAATATTCACATTTTCAAATTTTTATAAACAAAAGACTGGCGACGAACTCGAATTGTTCTTCTTTAGAAGCGAAGCTTCTAAAGACTCCTTCTTTTATTTTATTTGCAAGTGTTTGCTAGTTCCCATTGTTGCTCGTTCGAAACAGTTGACTGACGAAAGACCAAAGTAATATAGGCAAGCTACACAGCTTGGCGTTGGTTCATTTGATTTTTAGTCTAGCTGTAATAAGTTCTTGTTTATTAATATTAGTTTTGTTAGTGATAGTTTTAAGTGCTTGTTCATTACTTACAAAAATAAAGAACGAACCGAATATAACAATATATATATATATATATATATATATATATATATATATATATATATATATATATATATATATATATAATTATGCACAACAGTTTACTATCGAGGCTAAAATTTTTTTTTTTTTTTTATAAATGTCAGGTACATGCCTAACATATAAAAATTGTTTTTAATCAAATAACAACTAATGCGAAAATAAATGACTGAGAAAACAAAAAAAAAACCTATTCTTATTTTAATGAACTTTGAAAAAATTAATTTCTGCAGGATTAAAAATAGGCAGTAGCATATCTTTGTAATCAGGCAAATATTTTGAAGTTTACTCCAAATTTAATAAATTAAGAAAAAATGAATAATTTATTAACAAAATATAAATACTTTATTGTTATGAATAGGCACTTAGGATCATATAAATAATTAATCCTTATCAAGTCAGTCGAAGTTAAATCTTGAATTGTTGCTGATGCAATCAGGTTGATTTATGAGTAGTCGTTTGTTTACAGTTCTCAAACGGAATGTGAAATTCATTATCAAACTTAATTTTAGTCTAAACATTATAAGTAATAATAAATAATACTTGACTTATTAATTTTTAAAGTTTTAAAAATATTAATAATTTGAAAAAATTACGTTAATCATAAATATTGTTTATTTTATAATTAAATATATATTTATTGGAACGGAGTGACTCGTAACATAATTTTATCATAATTATATCAGGATTCATAGGAACGAAATTTTTATTCGTGTATATATATATATATATATTAAATATTATATATATAATATTTTTTTTTACTTAATTTATGACAAAAACATCATGAAGCATAAACTTATAAGAAAACTCATTTGATTTACTAGGTAAATACAAACAAATAAAAAAGCCGCCAAAATAATAATCTCCTGCCACGTGAATGCAGTAGAAATATTTCCACGTTATGTGTTGCCGATGATTAATCCGAGTGATTATTTTTCTACTTAACCTCTTTGTAAAAACAATTTTTTTTTTTTTATATTATCGGATTTATTTAAAAATTAATTAATAACTTATTAATTTTTTGAATGGATAGCCGAGGAAAAAAAGTCATAGTTTGCGATAATGGTACTGGGGTAAGTATAATTATTTTTGAAACTCTAAGGTTTTTTTTTTTTTAAACAAAAACTTTTATGGGCGTGCTCATATAGAGACTCCTGGACAAATCCTAATGTAAATGTCATTAATTAAAAATAAATTTCCGTTTTTACTGAACAATTTCCAATTTTTTATCATTCGTTACATATTTTCATTCTTATTCTTTTTATATTTTAATTTTTAACATTTACAGTCATTTCTTGTTTAGAGAATTTATTTATTTTTTTCCATAAATAAATATAATATATATAATATGTTATTAATATATATTACTAATTAATAATATGTATATAATAATATATATTATATTTATCATAAATAAAATATATTGCTAATACCTCTTTTAATTGTTCCAAGTTTAACAACTATTTTATTAAGTTTTCATAGTGCAAGAAATTTTTTTTCATCTTTGGTTTGAAATACTTAGTTCTCAGTCCTGTAACTTTCATTTAATCATTAAACTCTGATTATTATTAATATTGATTGTGCACATTTATAGGTTTGTAATAATTTCTTTTTGCACATCTTTTTCCACTGTGTATACAAACATTTTTAAAAATCAATATTTAACAATTATATTTTTGAAATTTTAAAAGATTTTTAATTTTTCAGTTTGTCAAATGTGGTTATGCCGGTTCCAATTTTCCAGCACATATTTTTCCCTCCATGGTAGGAAGGCCAATCATTCGTGCTGCAAATAAAATAGGAGATATAGAAGTTAAGGTAAATTACGTGAAGTTGTTTTAAGTTGTCGTCTTATAATATTTTATTAAAATCATTCTTGATTATTAACGATAATCTTGATAAATTTTTCTTTTTTTTTTCTTACAACAATTATAAAATTGATTTGTCTGTTTTTGTAGGAAATTTCAAATATATCAGTAAGTATGTGTTTTTCAGAATTTTATGTGCTACTTTTCTAGCATTATTATTTTAAAAAAAAAATTTCATTTTAAATATTCAATCAATATTTTTTATTTGTGACACATTCAAATTTATTAATTTAAAATTTTTTTTATTTTTATAATGTTTTATAATTATACAGATAGAATTCATTTTTAATTAAAATGAAATATTGAAACATGAATATTACGAATGATTATATGATTATTAATTAATGAAGTTTTATTCAATATTGAATTACTTTGACATTAAAAAAAAAATTGCCTCAGAATTTATTATTTATAATAATGTGTATTGTAAAAGTTTTATATTAAAAATCTTTTTTGTCTTGCAATTATTAAATTTATCTATTACCATTATGCATTGTGTAGTAGTGAAATAATAATTTAGCTATGTTCGATTACAATTTCATTTGTTTTGCTTAACATTGATTATTTGTTTTGGTGAGCATAATGAAAAGTCGAATAATAATAACAGTGTACATGTTTTTTTTTTTTTTTTTTTTTTTTTTCTCCAAATTTTTTGTATTGTCGTGTGTTTTGGATTTGTGTCAAATTTTGTTTGAAAATGTTATTTTAGAAAATTTATAAAAATTTATCTTTTTTTGTTGTATGCATTTTATCAAGATTTAGACTCAAAGTTATCTTTTTTTTTTTTTAAGTATTTGAGTTGTTAAAAGTATAAAAAGGGAAAAATTGATTTTTTAGTCAATTAAATAATTTTGTATGTTTAGAATTAATTTGTGATATATTTTTCACATTTACTTTTTATTTTAGACTGTAAGGAAGTATTATTTTTTAATTTGCAGAAAAACAATGTCAATTTTTGATTTCTAGTTAAAATTTAGGTAATAGATTTTATTTATTTATTTTTTTTCACATCTTTATAATCGAACATGAGATTTTGTTTATGGTTTACTTTTTTACTTGATAGTGAATTATTGTATTGCTAACATTTTTTTCAACTTAAAATCGTTAAATTAATTGCTCAAGGTTCAGAAAAAAAAAAAAAAAAAAAAAAAAAAAACTTTATTTTCTTAAATCATACATTCCATTTTTTTTTTTTCATTTCATTTTTATTTTTTTTTATAATTTTAAGTTTTTAAATTTGTAAATGTGGTGAATGCATTGCATAAAGTGTTTAAATTATTTGTTATACATGATCAATATTAAGCTCTGGTGTATTGTTTCAGGAATTATTTTCTTTTTACTACAGCAGTTTTAAAAATGGCTAAAATTTACTTCTTTAATCCTTACTAAATTATGTATGTCAAAGCTTTCATTAAAAAAAATGTAATTTTAATTTCAATTTTTTAAAAATATTCGCAACCGTTGCACTCCCACCGTGGTACTTAAAAAATTATTTTTTTTTTAAATTTTGTGGCTTTTAAAATGTGCTTTTTAAAAAAATATTAAGCACTCCCCCCCCCTCACCCCACCCTGCTGCATTGTGAACGAAAATGACTTGAAAGTCTTAAAAGTACCAAACTAGTGGGTCATTTTAATATTTCATTATTTGAAAATGTAATTTTAATCGTTTCATATCAATTTACTTGTTACATTAAATATTCGATTTTTAATTAATTTACAAAAAGAAAAAAAAAAAAAAAAAAAAAAAACGGTGATTATTTTTTCAGGATTTGATGGGGGGAGATGAAGCTAGCAAGTTGAGGTCAATGTTAAAAGTGAATTATCCAATGGAAAATGGAATTGTCAGGTTAGGGCTTTAAGTTCTGTAACCAATTTTTATTTTCTTAAATAAAAAATTATTTTTTAATTACTTGTATTTTGTTTTAACAAATTAAAAATTGGGATGATATGTGTCACGTTTGGGATTATACTTTTGGTCCGGAAAAGATGAACGTAAATCCAAGAGACTGCAAAATTCTTTTGACAGAACCTCCCATGAATCCGACCAAAAATCGGGAAAAAATGATTCAGGTAACCGTAAACGTGATGAATCATCCGTCACGAATGCTCATCGACTTAAGTTTTTTATTTTTATTTTTTTATATTACAACGAATCTCAATTCGATATTACTAAAAAAAATTTTTTTAAATTAACTAACCAAGGGAATTATTTAGTTTGACTCAATTTAGTTTTTCATTTTCTTTGAGTTTCTGATCTGATGTTCGATACTGTATTCCTTTTGAAAATTTCATATTCGGTACCAAATTTTTTTTTTTGTAATCAGTATGTAAAAAAAAAGTTATTGTTAAATATATGATGATAATTTTTAATAATAATAATAAAAAACATTAAATAAAATTTAAAATGAATTCTATTTTCGTTAATTTTAAATAAATTTTGACGTTTGTGTATTTTTTTTATTTTTACGTTAATTAAAATTGAATTTTATTCGATTAATGATCGCGATGAACTTTAAGTGAGTTCAAGTCGTTGAATAAAATTTATTTTGTTATTTTTGTAAATAGGTTATGTTTGAAAAATATCAATTTTCTGGGGCTTATATTGCTATTCAAGCAGTTTTAACTTTATACGCTCAAGGACTTTTAAGTGGAGTCGTCGTCGATTCTGGGGACGGCGTAACACATATCTGTCCTGTTTATGAAGAATTTGCATTGCCACATCTCACTAGAAGGTTAGACATAGCTGGACGTGATATAACTAGATATTTAATAAAAGTAAGTGTTCGCATATTGAATTTTTAGGAGGCAATTCAATGTTATTTCTTGTTTTTCTGTGCATATTATATAATACGTTTAAAGTGATATTAATTAATAATAATAATGGTGATCATTTTAAATGTTATTTTTCCAGCTGCTATTACTCAGAGGTTATGCTTTCAACCATTCCGCCGATTTTGAAACTGTTCGAATTATGAAAGAAAAACTTTGTTACATCGGTTATAATATTGACGTTGAGCAAAAATTGGCATTGGAAACGACTGTGTTGGTCGAACCGTACACGGTAAATTAATTTATTTAGAGATCAATTAAATTTTAGATTTCGTGTTAAATTCCAATTACTTGGTTTTTTTTTTTGAAATTGTTCTGCAGTTACCCGATGGAAGAGTAATAAAAGTTGGCGGAGAAAGATTCGAAGCTCCCGAAGCTCTTTTTCAGCCACATTTAATTAATGTCGAGGGACACGGAATAGCTGAGCTTGTTTTCAATACAATACAGGCGGCTTCCATTGACATGCGTTCGGAACTTTATAAACATATTGTACTCTCTGGTGGTTCGACAATGTATCCCGGCTTGCCGAGTAGGTTAGAGAGAGAAATAAAACAACTTTACTTGGAACGGGTTTTAAAAAATGACGTCGATAAATTATCCGTAAGACATTTTTCTTTTTGTTTTTTGCATTTTTATAAAAATAATAAAAATAAATTTTTTAAAAGAGAAGAAAAAAGTTTCCGTGAACTTTTCCTCTATCATTTTTACTTACTTTCATATCTTGCATACAAGCGAAAAACGTTATAAAACAAAGTTTAAATTTTTTTTTTTTTTTAAAATGATATTAAAAAAAAATAATAATAATAATAATTTTAAGCGGTAAGAATAAAATTATTAGAAATTTTGCGGAACTTTTGTTATTTATTTTTATTAACTTCCAAGAAATATAAGTTAAAATTTTTTTTTTTTTTTTTTTTTTTTTTATGTAACAGAAATTCCGAATTAGAATAGAAGATCCTCCTCGAAGAAAAGACATGGTTTTCATTGGGGGGGCAGTTTTGGCAGAAGTAATGAAAGATCGTGATACATTTTGGATGTCTCGACAAGAATATGAAGAAAAAGGGGGGGGAGTTTTAAAAAAATTGGGAAGTGCATCTCGATAGAAAACTATTATCCGGTGCAAAGTTTTATTGCTGTAATAATTGACATTTTGCCAGTTATTTTGAATAATTTTTCAACAGTATCTATGCGCTGTCTTTTTTTTTTTTTTTTTTTTAATTATTTTTATTAACTAATATTCTATAACTTCAAGTCGTTGTTTTTTTTTTATTTATTTATTCAGTGATTTTATATATATTTGTTATACAGTGGAATTTAAAAATTTTTTAATATTATTTTATTACTGTTTTACAGTAATTATTATTATGTAGTAACAAATTTAAAATTTAAAAAAAAAAAAAAAAGGAAAAGTAAATTTATCATGAAAATTTAATTATTATTATTATTTATTTATTTTATTTTTTTTTTTTGCATTTTCAGTTTATTTTATAATAATTAAAAACATTCCCGTTTGTCTAAATTTTTTTTTTATTAGTTAAAAAAAAAAAATTAAACCTTGTAATTTTGCTCAATCGGGGGGACTTGGGAAGTAATTAAAATTAATTATCTCGATTGAGTGTTTATATCAAATTATTTACTGTAGTATGGAGACCAAGTATACTATCTATGAAAGTGAACCGTGATTTAATACATTCATATTATGTATATATATATTTTTTTTTATTTGCCTTTAAATTATTATTATTTTTTTTTTTTTTTTTAGGAATTAATTTCTCAGTGTTTTGTTAAAAGATTAATTGTAATAAGTAAAACTATTTATTTATTATTGTTTTTTTTTTTTTTTTTTTTTCTAAAGTTAAGGTACCCAATGTTTTATTATGCTTATCTTAAAATTTCCATTAGATTGTCTTATGTGTCAGTGGTTCGATTGACTATTTCTCGTAATTATATATAAAATTCTAGGTTGTCGATTAGAGCATGGTTGCCAAATTTCCTCACCAGAGATCCAGCTGTAGTTTGAACCTTACACTCTTCCGGTGTTGTATATTTGTGTAATCTCGTGAGAATCCTTGACTTGACAAGATTTCAATGAAGCCACATGTGTTACTTTATCGGATAAATATGCAAAGTGAATTGTCGGTCTACATAAATGGAGGTTTTCTTTTTTTTTTTTCTTTGTTGCTGCTCGTGAGAAGGTAAGGACTTGAGAGTTGGTATATTTTCTAGGTTAGGAATATCTTGTATTTCATACAAGATAAAATCTTTAGTTTGGACCGGTAAAATCTTTTAGTTTCAAGACCAAATATAATTGTATTTTGGACTTTTAAAATTTTATTATTTGCGATTTTGAATTTTTTTATTTTATTTTATTTTATTTTTTATGTTAGGTTTAAAATAAGATAAATGTGCCGGGAAAAGAAATTTCGATTCTGTAGGGAGGTGAATAGTTTGCAATTCTTGTAGGAGTTTTATAGGGAAAAGTATTAGTGGATGATTCATATATGTTGCCGTGCAAAGAGAACTGAATATAGTAATTGGTCAATCAGATTGCGAGTAATACTCAGTATTTCGCTTAATAGTATTACATGTTCGTCTAATGTTTGCCTTATGGATATAATACTAACTTCACGGGAAAGTTGTTTAGTAAAGTTTTTAAGTAAGTTTCCGAATGAATTTTTTTTCTATTTTTTTTTTTATTTTATTTTATTTTTTTCCCTCTGTGCACTTGTGCCCCTGTTGCACTGATCGAATCTCGACGCACGTCGAGTTTTTACCGTATGCTCTCGGTCTCGGTCTAGCTCTCGCGCTCGCTCACGCGCTCGATCCCCGGACTTTTTTTTTCTTCGTGTTCGTTCCCTCTGTGCAATTGTGCCCCTGTTGCACTGATCGAATCTCGACGCACGTCGAATTTTTATTTATGCGCACTCGGTCTGGGTCTCGCGCTCGATCCCCGGACTTTTTTTTTCTTCGTGTTCGTTCCCTCGGTGCAATTGTGCCCCTCTTGCACTAATCGAATCTCGACGCACGTCGAGTTTTTACCGTACGCTCTCGGTCCCGGTCTCGCTCACGCGCTCGATCCCCGTACTTTTTTTTCTTCGTGTTCGTTCCCTCGGTGCAATTGTGCCCCTGTTGCACTAATCGAATCTCGACGCACGTCGAGTTTTTACCGTACGCTCTCGGTCTCGATCCCCGGACTTTTTTTTTCTTCGTGTTCGTTCCCTGGGTGCAATTGTGCCCCTGTTGCACTAATCGAATCTCGACGCACGTCGAGTTTTTACCGTACGCTCTCGGTCTCGATCCCCGGGCTTTTTTTTCTTCGTGTTCGTTCCCTGGGTGCAATTGTGTCCCTGTTGCACTAATCGAATCTCGACGCACGTCGAGTTTTTACCGTACGCTCTCGGTCTCGGTCTCGATCCCCGGGCTTTTTTTCTTCGTGTTCGTTCCCTGGGTGCAATTGTGCCCCTGTTGCACTAATCGAATCTCGACGCACGTCGAGTTTTTACCGTACGCTCTCGGTCTCGGTCTCGATCCCCGGGCTTTTTTTTTTCGTGTTCGTTCCCTCGGTGCAATTCATCCGTTCTTTCAATTCCAATCCTTTTTCATTTCCGCTTTTATTTTCAAAATCAAAATTTGAAGTCGGAAACGGAAACGGAATCGGAATCCAAAAACAAAATCGAAATCAAAATCCTAATGCAAAATTAAAATCGAAATCGACATTTAAAATCGGAATCGAAATCGAATCCGAATCCAAAATCAAAACCAAAATCAAAAATTAAAATCGAAATCAAAATCAAAACCGAAATCAAAAATTAAAATCGAAATCGGAATCGAAATCGATATTTAAAATCGGAATCCAAAATCGAAATCAAAATCCTAATGCAAAATTAAAATCGAAATCGATATTTAAAATCGAAATCGAATCCGAATCCAAAATCAAAACCAAAATCAAAAATTAAAATCGAAATCAAAATCAAAACCGAAATCAAAAATTAAAATCGAAATCGGAATCGAAATCGATATTTAAAATCGGAATCCAAAATCGAAATCAAAATCCTAATGCAAAATTAAAATCGAAATCGATATTTAAAATCGGAATCCGAATCCGAATCCAAAATCAAAACCTAAATCAAAAATTAAAATCGAAATCGGAATTTAAAATCGGAATCGGAATCCAAAATCGAAATCGGAATTTAAAATCGGAATCGGAATCCGAAATCAAAACCGAAATCAAAAATTAAAATCGGAATCGAAATCGATATCGATATCGAAATCGAAAACGATATTTAAAATTGGAATCCAAAATCGAAATCGAAATTTAAAATCGGAATCCGAATCCGAAATCAAAATCGAAATCAAAAATTAAAATCGAAATCGGAATTTAAAATCGGAATCGGAATCCAAAAACAAAATCAAAATCAAAAATTAAAATCGAAATCAAAATCAAAACCGAAATCAAAAATTAAAATCGAAATCGGAATCGAAATCGATATTTAAAATCGGAATCCAAAATCGAAATCAAAATCCTAATGCAAAATTAAAATCGAAATCGATATTTAAAATCGGAATCCGAATCCGAATCCAAAATCAAAACCGAAATCAAAAATTAAAATCGAAATCGGAATTTAAAATCGGAATCGGAATCCAAAATCGAAATCGAAATTTAAAATCGGAATCCGAATCCGAATCCAAAACCGAAATCAAAAATTAAAATCGAAATCGGAATTTAAAATCGGAATCCGAAATTAAAATCGAAATCAAAATCAAAACCGAAATCAAAAATTAAAATCGAAACCGGAATCAAAATCGATATTTAAAATCGGAATCCAAATCAAAA